TAATATTGTTATGCTTCGAACACGCCAAATGATGCGTGGAAGCCAAGAAACAAGAGCTCCCTGCTTATACTTGTGCATTTCTGCTTTTTTTCTTTTTTTTTTCTTTTTTTTTTTTAGAATTCAGCTTACGCCAAACATAGTTTTCGTTTTCCTCTTCGGCTCAAGCTAGTTACTGAGATTTTTTTAATGTCGACAATTATGTGCATGTTATTGCTAATTTCAGCTGAAAAAAGTGGGATTTTTGTGTCATTATGTATAGCTTGTTAGGCAACGTATTTGTGTATTACTTGTCATTGTAAATGACAAATTGCATATGCTAAGAAAAGACAGAGCAACAACAAACTTCAACAAAAGTTAAGGATCACTTGCAAACATTCTCGCCGCACTACTTCCAAGAGAGTTAATAGAATCATTTCTTAACTAAATCAATTCAATTTCAGAATGATGACGTCACGAACTTAAGCAATATATCGCTCAGAATAACAGTACCCTTCAATAGAAAATTCAAGGAATTAGTGTCCTTGACAGTCCCTTCAGTAACAATATAATTTCGAACACTAAGATGGTGATTCTTGGCGCCTCTACGTGGACAGAGCTCACTCACACCTATGGATATTGTTACGAGCACTGACGCCAATTTGAAATATTATCGTGTTGCTTTTAAAAAAAAATATATTGTTGACATATCATTTTCTTTGGGGTCAAAAATTATAATCTATTGTAATTCTAAACGTTTTATGACTACATTGACACAAATTCGATAACCTAACAGAACTGCTTCGACCCTTCCTGTCCGGGCCAACACAAGCTGAGATGAATACAATGTCCCGGGAGACAGTCGCAGACACATGATAGAAAACATCCCTATTTGGGAATCGGTTAATGTAAGTTTATACTACTAAAAAGACATCGGTTTTAATGGTAAATGTATCCCTTACAAAAAGTGTTATCGTAAAAGGTGATAGAGATATTATGACATAAGGGAATCTGAGGGTTGGCAGAAAGACTATTAAATAAAATCAAAGAGAGAAAGAGAGTGGGGAGGGGGTAGAGAAGGGGGCAGAGAGAAACAGGCTAAGAGATAGAAAGAAAGACAAACAAACAGACAAACAGGCAAAAAAGCCAAACAAACAGACAAAGGCAGAGAGAGAGAGTGAGTGAGTTAGAGAGAAGACAAAGAGAGGACAGAGAGAGATGGGAGAGGAGAGAGAGAGAGAGAGAGAGAGAGAGAGAGAGAGAGAGAGAGAGAGAGAGAGAGAGAGAGAGAGAGAGAGAGAGAGAGTAAAGAGAATGATCCATTTCAGTTACTGTTATTCATGTTCATAATCTTTAAATATCCGATCTATGAAAAGACCATTTTTCTCGTATTTTACACCACTTTCTCTCATTTTCTTCAAAACGCAATAAGAATCATGGGAAGCAGAACTCGTATTTATTTTTAGATGAGTACCTCTTCAAATTCTCCAACGAAAAATCAATACCTTACTGAAGTTGTTAGTGGATACAGCCGGACATTGCAGGTGGACGCAAGAGCCCATCATTATCATCAACCTTTGTCACTCTGTGGGGAGCACAGGCTACCAAAATACCACAAAAAAGAGCGCTCCATTGATGAAAATGATGACAGCATTGTGATACTCGTACATGTACTATCTAGACATGAAATGTCGAGAAGTGTCGTTAAATCTTTTATAGTGCTCGCAGAACTATACATCCTGTTAAAGAAAATATGTCTTGGAAGGTGAATTTTAAAAAAGTTGTTCCCGCATCCGATACGGACTTTCGGCATATTGTTGTGGTAGGGTGGCCAGTTCCTTTCCACGCCGCCTTTACTTTCCCAATTCGAAGTCAGGTACCCATTGCTGCTGGGTGGGCAGGAGGGGGCGAAAATAATCCGTGTCCGAACCGAGGCTCGAGCCCGGACTTTCCGCTTCGTAGACGAGCGCATTGACCGCTCCGCCACCGCACCGGAAGATGAATAAGAAATGGAAAATCAAAACGTGAAGCTAGTTGAAAAACTCGATGATCTTTCACATTATATCGGCTAATTTGACAACCAACCGTGAAATAGCAGCTGGCCCTTAAAAGTAAAATCAGTAGAGATTCAAATTTGCAAAGCGGTTATTTTACCATGGTCGGTTAGGAATTGAGCGATCATGTGGAAGATTTGGTTTAAGCTTGCCCTGGCGAGAGATAATTATGCCATTTCTCCAAGGGAATTTTGCTTTGAACCTAAGTCTTTTGCATGCTAGTAAAGGTGTGTGTCTGCATGTGTGTATTTGAGTGTGTGTGTGTGTGTGTTTGTTTGTGCATGTGTGTATGTTTGTGGGTGTGTGCGTGTGTGTGTGCATGTGTATTTGTGTGTGTGGGGGGGGGGGGCGGGGTGTTCATGTGTGTGAGCTAACTATCAAGCTAGAATGAACAGTCTAGACAGTCATACAGGCTGGCAAATATAAACTAACACACTGACAAAGCAAATAAACATACTGGGATTGTGTATTCCAAAATCGTATTCAAATTATGGTAATCAATGAGGAGTAGAAAGTGTAGGGATTGTTGGGGGCTAGAACTCAAGAAAATGTATACACTTTTATTTTGTAACTATTTTCCATTAAGATTGGTCGTTGGGGTTTGGTTGGAAGGGGTGGGGTAGGGGGAAGAGGAGGAATCTAGCGTAGATGCCAAACGAATAAAAAATATAACAACAAGCCTAATCCAGCATGGTGTTCTCAAAATGTCAACACCGTCGTCGTTGTCACCAGCATCATCATCATCATCTTCATCATCACCATCTTCATCATCATCATCATCATCATCATCATCATCATCATCATCATCATCATCATCATCATCATCATCATCATCATCATCGTCTTATCATCATCAACACCAAAATCATCACCATTATCAAGTAGCTACAGCATCAGGAAAATTCATAGTATCTTCCGTTTTCTCGTTTGGTTTTGTTAAGTTTGTTTTTGTTCTGTTATTTTTTTTCGGGTAGCGTAATAATTACTTTCATACTGACACATTTTATGGACAATCATGACTCAGGACTGAACAAAAAACGAAACTATCTTCGTCCAAAAGATCTATCAATGTTCAGTATCGGCAAAATTAATTAAAACACATCAATAGTCTTCTCTCACACAAAGCGTTTTCTGATCAACTGAAAGCTGACGTAACTTTACTGTGGACAAGTAGTTTTCACACAAAAAAATAAAATTGTTTTCATTACCAAAAGAAGTAGTTTCATAACGGGACAAAATAATGTGTTGTTTTTTTTTACACGAGTGGAAAGTCGCTTTCATAACAGGAAAAAGTAGGTTGATAAGGAGTTTTACAAGAGTGAAAAGTAGTTTTCAAAACAGGATTACGTAGTTTTTCATAAGAGAGAAGAAGAAATAAAGGAAAGATGTACATTGATTTACGCCTCTATGAACACTATTATTATGTCATTCAATACTCGGACGTCCAAATTCAACGTCCATTTCCGATAGGACAGAATCAATTAGGTTACAAGCCTTGAAAACTCACTAAAAAGGTTCGATCAAGTTTAAGAACAATCCAGTATGGGATTTCAACTACAGCCATACTCTTGGTAGTCAAGCATTATACAAACAGAGCTAATGGAATGTCCAAGAAAAAGCAACTTTCACTGATATAAAAAAAAACGTTTTCAAGGAAAGCACATTAGTTTTCATGAAACGAAAAAAGAGTTTTCACAAGTGCACAGGAGGCCAATGCTCATCGAATATGTCACCTGAAATAATGAGAAACATCAGCCTCTGTTTCATTGTCGTAAATGTAAATAGTATATACTTTAGTTTTTCTTTCGAAAGTATCGGAAGGCGAGAAAAATGTTTGTGTGCTGTTCTTAAGAAGTAATTACTTTGTTTTGTTTTTGCTTTTGTTTTATTGTTGCTATTTTTTTCCCATTAATGAGAACCCTGTCTAGCTAGTCGAAAACAGCCCTGGCGTCTCTACTATTATACGGGATTTGTCGATGCCGGTTTAGGGATAATTTTTATCGAGTGTCTCTGTCTTTCTGCCTGGGTGTTACATCCCTCTCAGCCTCGTCTGACCCTGACTGAGAGAGTGGGAGCCCGCCTCCTAAATGATTTAGATGGTGTTGATGGGAAAGTAAAATTGTCTGCATTACAAAAAATATAAAGAAATTAGAAGAAGAGAAAACTTTTGCGAGAGAGAAATCGGTAGTTGTATATAATGAATATCGTACGTTCAGAACCACAGAACTATACTGTTTCAAATAGCACTCCGAGGAAATAGCACTGATTTGCATTTTAAGAGACATGTGTGACATTCAGATTTATCATCCATTTAATGCAAGGCGTAGACATAGAAATTGTAAAGGTATAGTGCGCTTTAGATTCTCAGTTCTACAACAAGAATGCTGTGCTTTTAGGACGGATACTTGACCTAATTTTTCCTGAGTTCAATCAGCTGCAAATTGGGACATAGCAATCCATAGAGAAGAAATGAATCAGTGACAACAATAGCGGCACTCAAAAATAGGCTCTTACACTAGTTTATTATGTCGCCTGGGAAATTGAAAGGGTAATAATATGGATTGAGCAGCACTGTAAAGTCGAAACTGTCGTAGGCCTGGGGAGGTCGGGGGATGTAGGAGCAGAAAGGCGAGTGGAGAATAAGGGAGAGAAAAGACTGGGAAAAAAACGAAAGGGGGTGGGGGAACGAAGGGAGAGACCAAGACATTATATGATCGGAAGACGAACACCCCCCACCCCAAAACAAACAAACAAACACACAAACACACAAACAAAACAAAACAAACAAAAAATACCCCCCCCCCCAAAAAGCAAACAAACTAAAACATACACAAAAAATAAACCCAAAAGCGAGGGTGAATGGAAGTTTGATTCAATCTATAAAGACACATTTCTACGAAGTGCAACATGGAAAGAGCAGACGAAAAGGGAATCATGGAAAGTGTAGACGAAAAAAGAATCCCAACTCACCTGCAGCTATCAAGAGAATGAATTAGTGAGCTGTGCACCGGGCCAGACAACCAACTCCTTTTACTGCCCTGGCAAATGGAAAAAGGAGAGTGAATTAAACGATAGATTTATGAAGATAGAGATGGCGTGCAGGCTTGCTGTAGAATGAAATTGAACATCTACAAAAGCTTGAGAGACAAGAGGGCTTAGGGCATGTCTCGTGTGCAGTAGAACGCAAGAATACAAAATAATTTAAGCCCGCACGAACATACACTCCAGGTTTACTGTCAGACATGTAAACGACACACGCAACCATAAACAAATGAACACTTATATTATACAGTCTCATACATACGCATCCATGGACAAACACACACATACACGATGCACATAACACACACTCTCGCACGCACGCACATACATGTAAGCGAGCAAACACACTCAAACACACACATATATCACCCCCCTCCACACACACACAAACATACGCACACATACACATACTAAAGCGCGCACCTTTTAGCATGGCTGTGTCTGTTATAGGCGACGATTGATTTGTTCTTTGTTTCCTTTTTAGCGTTAACATTTCGATTTTTTTTCGCTGAACATGAAATGCATTTTCAAAATACAACTGCTTTCATACCTTATGCAGATTAAAGCTTTCTGCTCCTAACTCTCTCAGCCACAATGACATAGTGAGTGCAGGAATGTCAAAAAAAAACCCACAACATAATTAGGTTAGCTCGAACATAATCATTATTAAAATGTTGGAAAAACAAAAACCGATGACAGTGTACATGCAGACACAAACGCACACAAATGTATAAATAAACATTCACACACGCACAAACACACACACAC